GCCAGAATGTTTCAGATCTAAGAAACACAAAGAATGAGCTCACGCTTAATTTAATCACACCACATGATTTCCCCAAAAAAGGAGGAAGCAAACCAAAAAGGAAAGTGCCATGGATTCTTAAGGGGCCTGAAGAATGTCAGAGCCTGTTGCTGTGAGATGAGGACACACAAAGGGCTCTCCTGCTGGTGAATTAACACGGTTCTAAAAAGGGATAAAGAGGTTCTCTACTTTTGAATAAAGATGGACCCAGAAAGTCCCTAGAAACGGTGACAGACTTTCACTGGTTAATTGGCGTTTCAATGGTTTCAACTGAAATGCTGCCTCCAACGCAGTTTGAAAGCTGACAAGAAGCATTCAATGAAGTCATTCTTAGGAACTCTGGAATGTCTTCCAAGATCAATATTAAATACTTCTAAAGAGGTCCAAAGGTGCTCAGCAATCAAACAAAACTTCAAAATCACAGAGGTCAAAAATCGAAAGCCCTATCTTATAGGCTACATCTAATTAGCTCCTATGCTTAAATTATTAAAGGGGTCATATGATGCGATTTCAAGTTTTCCGTTACAAGCTGATTGTGCATAGATAAGATCCCTGAAGTTGCAAACGCATCGTGTGTGTGTGTGTGCTCGTGCGCGAGTGTGTGTGTGCGAGAGAGAGAGAGAGAGAGAGAGAGAGCGCGAGAGAGAGAAAGGGAGAGCGAGAGAGAGAGAAAGGGAGAGCGAGAGAGAGAGAGAGAGAGAGAGAGAGAGAGAGAGAATATGACCCCTTTAATATGGGATTTTCATTGGCAGATTCTCACTTATAGCCTACTTTTACTGTGTAACTGTACCATACAGTGATGCTATCAACTGCTAGTACCATGGTGCATATGCCATGGCATGGTACACCATATCAAAGAATATAATGGTACATGTTCAATCAAAACAATGCTATTGCCATGCTACATGATGTAAAATCATGTTATTTCACTTAACCCTTAAATCTTAAGCAGTCTGTGTTACTTCAAAGAACTTACAGTAGCAAAAGCAGTTTTACTTATATTTAAGCAATTTAGCAAGGCAGAAAAGTCCCCTGGATCACTGCTCTCTTGTTCTGTTTCTTTGAATGCTCTAGCAATAAGTTGTATCATCCCACCTCAGCTAGAGAAAATGATCTCTTTTGTTCAGCGTGACTTTCGACGATGTCAAAACCTAGATTCGACACAGTAGACATGAGACGAACAATAACACGCAGTTCGAAAGGCAAATATAAAATATTTGTATTCCTCTTACCTTAACGGTGCTGAATTAACGGGCTGCTCGCTGATTAGTGTTTAACTTCCTGATGTGTCTGAGGCGATCTCCTAGTTCTGACTATAGCCTACACGACACGCGCCAGAAGGGAAGAGCCACAGCAGAAACCTGGAAACGTTCAGCTTCACAATCACAGCTCTGGAATACATGGAAAAACATACATGGCATCGTTTAGAGGTCACGGATCCTAGTTCGGTGCTAGAATCAAAGCAATACCAGTTCTAAGCTCACTTCAGCTACTTTCTCATTGTTTCTTCACCGCCTCCTTTACTCCAGCCCCTCGCGATGTTACAATGGCTCGGAATGCGCCCGTACGCCTACTATGTAGGCTAGTCTAGGTAGACAGCTCACTACGAGCTCACATTTTTTCTGATTTGCCCTCCTTTTCTTTGTAAAGATGTTTACATTTTTCTGGAAAATCTGATTAACTTTACCCAGTCAGTTCATACAAGAGGGTGTAGCCTAGTATGTGGGATGGTGGGACATACAGCTGGATGTTTCTTCAAATATGAGCGGGATAGTTTTTGGCCCTGTGTTCCACACTCGTATACAATGTTTAATTTGTTCACAATGTTCAACACTGTAGCAGAGAACTGTCATTTATGTTTTTTTTTCTGTTATTTAAGTTACATATTGGTTTTAATAGCATTCAGTTGAGGAAATATTTTAAACATTTTTTGGAACAAAAAGGCTACATCTTTCTTAGCTAGCGTTTGTTTTTGTATCTTTAATTATACAATTAAACAGTCTTTTCACATTTTTGTAGGCTATAATTTCACAAAATTACAGCTTTAAAATGACACCAAATAAAAATGTTGCTACTTTGATTTTTCTTTGTTTTAAACATCTTATAACGATTTAGGTCCACCTATATCATTTTCACACAATACATATTGAAATGGTTTATTCATACTTTGCTGACATAATAGTTTATCAAACAATAATAACATTATAATATTTGTATGTGTACATAGTTTAAAACTGAAAAGTTGCAAGGATAGTATAAATAGAAGGCTTTAGAAAAGTATGGAAATGATCAAAGAATGATAAAACACTTCCAGGACAGTTTTAATGTGATCTTCATACATAAAACAAGTACCAGTTAGCCTACTACAAATCAGCCACATAAAGTCCAGAGACAAGGCATGGCTGCAGATGACCCATTATACAAATATTACATGAAGATTGCCAGTTTGCAATAGTTTAAATATTAACTTTTCGAGGCCAGGGTAGTAAAAAGATTCCATATAAGGGCGTTAAAGTATGAATGAACAGAAGTGTTGTAGTACTAATGTGTCAACTCTAGAGGGCTGCATTGTACGGTGTGTAAAATGAGTGCGATGGGATGCAAAATTGTGTGTAAAAAAGAATGCTCTAAATTAAAGGTTATAAAAATACCCAATGGTCTAAATTAAAGTCAAAACAAACTGATGCATTAACAGTAACATTGTGTACTGCTATATTATGAATTATTAAGTAAAGTTTAGGCCATATCTATTTTAACGTGCAGTATTTGCTGACTGAAAAAAAGCTTAGTCCAAGGCCGAAATGCCTGACAAATACCTTGACTGTGTCTCATCCTTACCTAATCTGCCCTGCAGCATTCAGGTCTGTCTTTTTCTACTCAAGCTTTTGGATGTAATCCCTGTGTGTGAAAGTTGGGAAATGCCGTACTGACTTGCCAGTAAGTGAAACATCTATGTTAACTCAAGTGGGTGAAATAGCTACTACAGATGCTTGACAGAATAGATGATAAAATGTCATATAACTTACCAACCTTTTATTAATTTTACTGCTCAATTTGTCTAAAATGACTTATTTAAATGATATTTATTTTAGCAAATGTATTGCAATTGAAATAAAAGTTTCATTCTACAAAGACAGCCCACTGTTTACACTGTAATTCTGTTTCTGTGTATCTATCCTGGTTTGTTCTTAAACAGACTGTGACTTTCCTTGGCTTTAACATTTTAAAAGACATCTAGATTGAGATGAAGCAGAATGAAACTGTTTAATCTTCAGGGAAACTGAGGCTAGGATGGGCCAAAGGGCTCATCAGTGTCCTCAAATTGAGCTGCATAGACATATAGTCTTGGTTAGACATATAGGCAATACCTACAACAGCTCTACTGGAAAGTAAGACATTTCAATCGCAATAGTCTGTTTAGAAGAGGAAAGAATCTCCAATACAAAAATTCTTGCCATTATAAATTCTGGAGGGCCCAACAATAAGATTTTTTCCCCCCCCTGTTGGGTCAGTACAATGAAAAAAGAAAATTTGTTTAATTTACTTAATTAAAATCAGCTAATGCAGCACAATTGCTGTACATGTTGTCTGAATTGTGTCCGTTTGTGTTCAATCCACTTAAATATATGTGAAATTTTAATTTACTTAATCCATTTCTTTTGGGATTATATGAACTATTATTGTTGCAATAATGGAAATGTTTAGTTCCCAGCATGCTTTGCATAGGGCTGGGTTAAGAGCGTAAATGTAGAAATTAAGTTTTATTTTAATGTGTTTTTGACTGAAGTGCAAGATCCGGTTAATATTAAATGTTTTAGCTATGTTGGACATTTAAAATAGTTATGTTTTTTGTGCTAAAGAGTAAAGCTCTTGGTTGTGGGTGTCTACATCCCGTTTTTTTATAATGTAAGTTGGTTTGTTTGATTAGAAATAGCTGGTTTAATGCCAGTGTAGTGAAAAGTAACTTCATATTTGGGCTGTGCTAGTAGAACTCTTTTAAATGTATGACAAAAATGAATGTCAAGCAATAACAGCTCTTTCCATTTACTCAAAAACACGGACTTGAATTTAGTGGAAACTACTCAGTAAAACTGTGCTGATATAACTAAACGCAAGTTCAACTAAAAATGAAATATATTACTTTTGTGCAACTACTTACCTCCAAAAAAAAAATGTTTGTTCAATGCAGCCCCACCAAAAAACTATGTATTTTATTTATGCAGTTTTATATTTGGTAGAAATGTCTTGCTAGAATCCATCTGGATACAGCTGGCATCATGATCAGGATGATATTCCTTGGTTTCTCCAATGTAGCTACTTTATACAATACTTTCGACATTATAATTAGAACATCACTGCCTCTGGGGGAATAAGCAGCTAAAATTACATTAATTCTTTTCTAGTACTGCTTCTAACCTAACTGAAGACTAACGTGTAATATGGGTGTTTAGGGTACTTGCACCACTCAGTTGTGTTGATGTACCTCACACTGATACACTTTATGTGTTTGTGGACAGTCTAAACAATAATGACAATGAAAGGGCTTCTTTTGTGTAGCTATCCTTCAAACATAGAGTAATGTTTCTCAACCAGGTGGGGCCCAACAAACCTCCAAGCGGGCCTTACGTTTTAAAATAGAACAGAACAAGCATTAAAATAAGCTAGTAAAACAACTCAAAATAAAAAAAAGATTTGAAGGAGGGTTCCTACTGTCTTGAAAAACATTGATTTATGAGGAAGCCTAATTTTAAAACTAATATTTCTTGTAAAGCCATGTAAATGAATAAAATCCTATAAATCCAGGGCCATTTTTATAATGCAAATGAATGCAAATTATTGATGCAAATCAGTCTGTGAGAAAAAAAAAATTCTCTCACAGATTGCGGGTCTTAATGTTATAAAATGCTGTCATTCTGTCTCTTCATTTCTAAAGAACAATGTGGCGAGATATCTTTAAATAGTCTTTATTAACATTGGGAAATTTAAAACAGAATTTTCCCACATATAAATACAATCATACTGACCTATGTATCATGATATATGTATTGTAATACCCATCAGCAGGATGGACTTTTTAAATATTACAATAATATTGTTATTGAAAATCGTAAGGAATCGAGTACATAATTGCATTTGGTAAGTTAACAAACAAAGGAAGATCATCGTCTTCAAGAAAATCCTGAAAAATGTATAGATACGGGATATTATAAGGCCAATACGATCCAAAAGCATTACACTGGTCATTGGAGAAATCCAAAGGATACCTACAACAGGCCATAAATTCATCCTTTCAGCTGTTTGAGTACCTGACGGATGCATTGAAGTGGCTTGCACTAATCTGGCATAAAGACGCTCACACTAATATTGCTCAGTGTATATTACAGGCCTAAAGCATACGCCACATCTACGTCTCGAAGTCTGCTAAATGTCAAGAGCTTTTTAGGTCAGCGGTTGAGTATCCTGAAACTTTGACTGATTGAACATTGAGGCAGTTTCCATGACAGGGAAGAGGCAAGCCAATAACATTTGGCTACAACATATGGCTCTGAATATCCAGTCTTAAAATACGACTGAAGATCCAGTCAGTGTAATTCAGTAGTGTCCTCAGCAGCATAAGAAACGTCCATTAATGCCAACAGCCAGGCACACGAAACCAGCACCTTTAAAGAGTAGGAGCCTATATGCAGCCATGTTCTTTGCAGGCTGCCTATTTCGGGGGAAAATTGGAGGAAACATCGACAAAAGTACAGGGGTATTGTTGACAGTAAATTACAGTAGGTAGCAGTGGCACTGAAAAGAATGAACCCACCTCAAAAATACAAAATCAAGTGCAACCAAAGGTTTATCATTCCGTGTAAGTGAGTGAACAAGAGTCCAAAAGCATATCAGACTCTCTTGGCCTGAATCGGACGCTGTGTATTTTGTAAAAAGGAAAGGAAAGTGGCATTAAAGTCATTGAAGGAGTCTAGCTGTCCTCTATGAGCTTAGCTAGGTTGTCTCTCAGCTCTGTCAGCTCGAAGATCTTTCCATCCAGAATCTCCAGCAGGGTTTTGAGGTTCTTGCGGAGGTTCTCCTGATCCACTTGACTTGACTCCAGACGTTGCTCCAGATCAGCCAACTGTTCCTCAAGCTCCTTATTCCGCAAGTCTGTATCCTATAACACACACCATGCCTCTTATACTCACCAAGACTGCATGCATTTGATCAAAATACTGTAAAAACGGCAATATTGTGAAATTGTATTACAATTTTAAGGAAACTGTTTTATATTTAATATATTTTAAAATGTAATTTATTCCTATGATGGTAAAGCTGAATAATTAACACAATATTAGAATGATTTCTTAAGGAACATGTGACACTGAAGTCAAACAATCCTTAAGAAATCATTATAATATGCTGATTTGGTGCGATGTAGAAAACAGTTGTGTAGTTTGAAATAGAAATCTTTTGTAACATTATAAATGTCTTTACTTTTGATCAATTTAAAGTACCATACTGACAACTAACTTTTATGCATATATAAATACATTTTCAGGACAGTCTTTACCTCTAACGTTTTAGTGAGTTCATCTTTCTGAGTTTGAAGCTGCTTTGCATTTTCTACTTGTTCTTTCAATCGCACCATTTCCTGTGAAGAACACACAGGAAAGATGTTTTAAATAGAATCTGGCAATAACGCTGAGAATGAAGGAATACATTATATATTTTGACCATACATAATAACAACCAGTACCTCTTCTTTTGCCTTTAATGTGCACTCCAGCTCCTCTATTGTTTGGTTCAGCTCTGTTTTCTGGGATTTGATCACATTGGTTTGACTACTCTGGCTTTCCAATTCTGAAACCTGCAGAGTTGCAAAAGAAAAAAAAACTTGTCACAATGCTTGTCACAAATTTAGTTACAAAGATTTAAAGATTTACAGCATTAACATTGAGAGTGATTTGATAGGAAGTCTTTTTTTCTATAACAGTTGGTGAGGCCATGGAAAAAAGTTCAGCCTTATTTATGTGAACTTTATGTAAATGAACAGCAACAGTAACGACCAATGAAAATGCAGACACTAAATTAAATCGCTGTCAGTGTGAACACTCCCTCATCCCTGTCATAGACTCACTATACCAACAGTTCAAGACAAGACTAGATCTATTGAACCCTAGGACAGTATGTTCTTGATATGGAGTTACCCTCCCCTGCTCACCCGTTTGTGTAGCCTTTCAGCCTCTTCCTGATAAGCTGCTAGCTGCTGTTTCCATTGTTTGACGTTGGCTGTGGACTCCAGCAGAGCAGCTGTGAGCTTGGCATTGTTGCTCTTTAGTGCTGCAAGCTCTGCTTCCCAGTGTTTGTTAGTAGTCGGGCTGTAGAACAAAAAAAAAACATTAAAACAAACTTTCAATAATATCTCTGATGGTTAATGTTCATTTTAGACTGGGAATTCAAACTATAGACCAAGGGTTTTCAAACTTTGTTCCCCTCGAAATACCCCCAACATTCCACTGTGAGGGAGCTAGCAGCTATTTATTTCCATGTATAAAGCCTTATATACTGTGTGTAAAAATATTAAGTGTGGTATTATAACAACTGAACAATTGGCTTTTACATAGTCTCAGTCCTGAAGCCAACAAAAAAATTATTAAAATATTATCTTGAGAATATTGCTTTGTATTAAGTATTAAGTTGTATTTGTATTAAGCTTTGTATTATTTTTTCCACCAATAAATAAGACTAATAAAGACTAAAGAGATGTATAAATGTTTAAAACAAACCTGGGCTGTCAGTAGAATAAAATAGCTGTTTAATGTCATTATTTCTGACCAGTTCTTAAAGAGCAGTATTAAACAGTAATGTTATCAAATTTCATATTAAACTTTATTAATATCTTATACCACCCTTCAAAGTTTTGGGATCAGTTATATATGGGATCTATATATATCAGCTTATTTAATGCTTTTATTCAGCAAGGGTGCATTAAATTGATCAAAAGTGAGTTGAGGCATTTTATGTTACAAACCAGTTTTTTTTTACTTTCTTTTCAAAAGAAACAAAGAACTGATTTAAAAATTATTTCAACACTGAAAAATAATAAATGTTTATTGAGCGTGAAATCAGCATATTAGAATGATTGTGAAGGACCATGTGACACTGAAGACTGTAGTAATGAAAAATTCAGCTTTGCCATCATTTTTGAACAAATAAATAACTGCCTTTATCTTTCATGAACATTTAAAAATCTTATTGACTCCAATTTTTGAATGGTAGTGTACATTCAAATATTAACCCAAAAAACAGCCTTACATTTGTTTTATTTTAATTTTTTCATCTCAAATTATCCACAAATCCCCAAGCATCCACTTGCGGCCCCCTGGTGGTCCTTGGACCCTAGTTTGAAAACTCCTACTGTAGACCATAATGAGGACTGTGTGTTGAAGTGGATGTAGGAAGAACGGCAGTTTAACCATGACTGTAATTAAAGATGGATTCCAGGTGGGTACAATTGCTTTTTAATTTGACCTTTCTATGTTTTACCAAGACTTGGACGCAGTTTAAGAGCAATTAACAAGGATTATTACAAACTCTGTGATCCGAGTTCTGTCATTTGCATAAAAATTACAATAAAATGTCTGATGGAATGTGACAAGCTGAAATAGATCAAAGTAGAAAGTCGCCTAATGATTATAAAGAGACAGAAAGTCTCAAAGACAAAAGAAGAAAGCCAATTCTTCACTTATGCAATGACCATCTCTCATCAGTCCATCTGTGTTCTTCATGTAGTGACAAACAAAATCAAGCATAAATTTACAATGTGCTCTGATCCTCATGTACTGACAAAAAAAATAATAAAAATGCTGTAACGGTGATGCTGTCACACGGCCAGCGAACACATAACCAACCCACATCTATGAGGAATCCCATCCACTGTCATCCTGCTTAAAGGGATAGTTCTCCCAAAAATGTATTCACTCACCCTCAATCCTAGACATATATGACTTCCTTTTTTCAGATGAATCCAATCAGAGTTATATTAAAAATTGTCTTTGAACTTCCAAGCTGTTTAATGGCAGTCAGTGGGTGTTGCAGTTCTTCAGTCCAAAAGAAGTGAAATAAAGCGCATCCATCCATAATAAAAAGTGCCTCACATGGCTCCGGGGGGTAAACAAAGGCATCCTGTAGCGAATCGATGCGTTTTTGTAAGAAAAATATCCATATTCAAAACGTAATAATCACTTTAACAGTTGTATACGGAAGCAGCTCCGGGCGGATGACGTATGAGGTCAGCGTTGCGCATGTGCCGGTGAGTCTCGTGAAAACCAACGTTTGTTAACAGGAGCAAAGGAGAAGCAAAGTTCCCTTACTTTAGCAAAGGAAAACCAGTCTCCTCTTGGCTTATATCGAAATCCTCCGACAAATCCTCATTTTGTACTTCTAATTCGTGATCGATGTTTTGTTTTGATCTCTCCCCTGCGCTTCTGCGTTCGTCACTTCTGAGCGGCGCATGCGCAAAGCTGAACTCATACATCATCCGCCAAGAGCTGCTTTCAGTGTACAACAGTGAGTGCAAGCTAGATTAACTTGATTATTATGTTTTAAATATGGTTATTTTTCTTACAAAAATGCATCGATTCGCTACAGGAGGCCTTTGTTCACCCCACTGAGCCGTGTGAGGCGCTTTTTATTATGGATGGATGCGCTTTATTTCACTTCTTTTGGACTGAAATAAGTGTCTGAATGCGCATACTGTAAATAATTTAAAAATGGTTGAGAGAAAAGCACAATGAACTTGTATCTGTTAGTGCTAATTTTAACACCACTTTTACTTGAGACTATAGGTACAACTTCTATTAAACTAGGGATGCATTGATATGAACAAAAACAGCCTATATTAAAGGGTTAGTTCACCCAAAAATGAATTATTAGCCAGTGTTTTACTCACCCTCGAAGCATCCTAGGTGTATATGACTTTCTTCTTTCAGACGAATCCAATCGGAGTTATATTAAAAATTGTCCTGGCTATTCCAAGTTGTCAGACTCTGTTCCTGTCTTGTGTTTTGTTCCCCACGTGCTCCATGTCCTGGTTTTTACCCCCGTGTTCCTCCTATGCCCTTATTTGGTCCTTTCCGTTCCTGTCCTTATCATGATCATTTGTTCCAGGTGTTCCCCGTTTAGTTCTATTGATTCCAGGTGTTCTCTCATTAGTTTCCATGTATATTTAAGCCCTGTTTCCTGAGTCAAACGTGCTGTCTTGTATGTCGATCTCCATGTCGTACGTGTGATTCCTTTGGTGTCAATAAAGACTGTTAATTCTGGATTATCCTGCGTTCTCCTCGTTCCTCGCTCCTTGTTCCTTGCTCCTCGCAGTAGGCACACCATGACAGAAGACAGCACCTAACAGAAAGTAAGCGGTGCCCCTTCTCCCCATTTTTGTTTTCGCTTTTTTGAAAGTTTTCTGTTTTACTTTGCTCCCCCCGCGATTATGAAGATCGCGGCACGCTTCATTTTCCTAGCCCGTTCATCACACATCCCACTCCTCTGCCTCCTTCCACACACTCCACCGCAGCTTAACCACGCAACAAAGACACGTGTAGAGAACCAACACAAGAGTCCTCAGCGTTGTCGCCAATTCCCTCTCATCTCCCCCAGTGCCGCCACCTCTGCTGCGGCTGACGTGATCGCCTCCTCCCCCGACCCCCGCTCTGACAGACAACACCTCAACCCACACTCTCCAACTCCTACTGAAGCTGTGACACAGCGGGCTGGAGACACACATGGTTATAAAGCACCGCACACAAGGAGAAGAAATGTTCCTCTGCAGGAGAAAGAGAGGAGAGAAGAAGAGAGTGAAGTCCTTCAGCTTCAAGCTAAGATTAACAGGGACTTCAGCCTGGTAAGTCAATATATGTAGTATATTATAGTCTGTTTAAATGTTTGTTCAGTCTTTTTAATTAAATATAGACTTTCGAGATTTAACAATTGCCATTTTTAAGACAAAAAATAAAGGAGAATCTAATCTTGAGGGGAAATTTCACATATAATACTATATAATTAACAGTATAGTCAAAAACGAAAATCACTGTAGATTTAAAAACTCTGATTTAAGGACTGTTATCCTTGCATGTTATTTCATTCCCAATATTAAAATTTTATTTTTTTATTGTGTTTTCATGTAATAAATTATTTTGATTTAAATTCAAGTCTTGAAGCCTCTCATTTCATGTATAAAAATTATCATGTATAAAATGTCATGTCATTGCATTAGATATGAAATATTAATCCGAGTGCCATTATTTTAAAGGGCCATTGTATGTAAGCAGGTGTACAGAAGCATATGGCTGTCAGCCTTACATAACTACAAAGAACAGCATAAGCATAATGTCAATGTGACTGTCCTTCATGCCTGCTGAATGTGAATCAATAAACAATCTCTATCTGATCGTTCCTCTATTCAGAGCTCGAACAGCATATAATTTCAAAGGGCTCACGGTGCCTCTCTGTTGAATGTATAGATTTTAGGTCACCGATAAAATGGATTGCTTTCCATATGCCACATAAAGAGCAGTCCTTAATGAAGTTTTAAGACTTGATTGGCGTACCACACATTTTGGTGTACATCTCATATTCAGCCCCACTGTAAATGTGATTCACTACACTGTGGCAACTGCCCAACCAGCCCCTCAACACTCACTTTAATGTACTGCACAAGACTGTGGGTGAGAGAATTACTGTTTGAAGAAATGCCTTCAAATCACTCACCACGTAATAAAAGCCAAAGCAGATCAAATACACTCTACAGGCTAATCTATGACCCATATACAGATTTATACACATTCATCAAGCGACAGGAACAGTATTTTTAAGGGGAATTTAGAAGTAAGGTCATCTTTGAAGGAACAAATAGCATTATTTACTTCAAAATCTCACTAATGAACTAATTGCTTGTTTCATATAATATCATAGTGGTATGAATCAGTCATGGTTGAGAGAAAAGCACAATGAACTTGTATCTGTTAGTGCTAATTTTAACACCACTTTTACTTGAGACTATAGGTACAACTTCTATTAAACTAGGGATGCATTGATATGAACAAAAACAGCCTATATTAAAGGGTTAGTTCACCCAAAAATGAATTATTAGCCAGTGTTTTACTCACCCTCGAAGCATCCTAGGTGTATATGACTTTCTTCTTTCAGACGAATCCAATCGGAGTTATATTAAAAATTGTCCTGGCTATTCCAAGTTGTCAGACTCTGTTCCTGTCTTGTGTTTTGTTCCCCACGTGCTCCATGTCCTGGTTTTTACCCCCGTGTTCCTCCTATGCCCTTATTTGGTCCTTTCCGTTCCTGTCCTTATCATGATCATTTG